CCTGTGGTGCCCTGTAGTATAATGTTCCCTTGTCACCAGAACCGGGTGCTCCAAGGGTGTCCCCTATGTATGTGGGCCATGTGCTCCCTGCTGTTGTGGCTGAGCCCTGTTTGCCTTCAACCTAGTTGATTGCAGTGACCCACTTTTCCTGTTGTGGGCTCACCAGGCAGTGTTGAGGGGTTTGTCTGAGGCCTCCACAGGCAGCAGGTGTGCATGGGTCAGCGGTCATGCTAGCTGTCTGCGGTTAGTCTCTCTGCCACAGCTGCAGGCCCACCAAAGGGCTTTCTCTGTGCTCAGCCACTTGAGAGGTTTTGGTTAGTAGAGGGGTCAACAGTCAGAGTAGGTGTCTCCAATCCATCTCCCTGTCACAGTTGGGGGCACACTGATGGGCAGCATTTTTCTCCCTCCGTGGCCAGCTAAAAAGCCTTGGTATTGAAACGGTGTGCACACTTGCGTGTGTAGTTATCTCCCCCTCTCACCAGGGCAGGAGTCACTTTGGAGTAGCATCAGTCTCTGCTGGGACTGCTTGCAGGGTGTGGTAGGGCAGGAGCTATTTCGGAGGGACGCCCCCTGAGGCGTGTGGGTGGATGGGGTGTGCTTGCTGGAGACCACAGGGGTGGGGCACATTGTGCTGGTAAAGTTAGCACTGGGTCCTGCAAGCGTCCTGTGCTGTAGGCTGGGGAAGAGGAAGACAAAGGTCATTTGTCTTCACTTTTGTTCTTGGAGGACTCTCTGGAAGATCCTTGCCCCTTTTATTTATTTATTTTTTTAATGTTTTATTTATTTTTGAGAAAGAGAGCGTGAGCAGGGGAGGGTCAGAGAGAGAGGGAGACACAGAATCTGAAGATAGGCGCCAGGCTCTGAGCTGCCGGCACGAACCGTGAGATCATGACCTGAGCTGAAGTCGGACGCTTAACCGACTGAGCCACCCAGGCGCTCCTGATCCTTGCCCCTTTAGTAAATAAGTCTGTCTCCTTCACATGTACCCCAGGCACTTTTCAAACTGCTGCTTCTATGCTGTGTCTCAGGCAGGATTATTTATTACACTGGCTCTTTAAGGATGGGGACTCAGTTTCCTATATCCTTCCAGCTCTCCCAGAGTTAAGCCCAGATTTTTAAAGTGCTTCAGGTTAAGTCACACTGAGTTTTAAAGCTCCCAGAGTTAAGCCCCACTGTTTTTCAAAGTCAGATGTTACAGAGGCTTCTCTTCCCAGTGTGGGTCCCCAGCGCATGGGGTGCCTGGTCTGGGGTGTGATGCTCTCGCTTCTCAGTACTTGTGGTGTCTCTCTCCCATTTGTGATTAGTCTCCCCAACCCCCTCTCTACTCTTCCTGTGCTTTTCAAGGTGGCCTCCTCACTATGATTTACCTTTGCAAGGTCTGTTCTTCCAGTCTTTAGGTCGTGTTCAGAGTCTCTTCATGTGTCTGTGGGATGAGGTGAGCTCAGGGTACTTCTACTTTGCCGTCTTCCTCACAGTCTGCACACATATATGTCAACAGTTTATTGAGCCAGGATCCAAATAAGAGACAATATATGTAGGGTCTTTCTGGTCACTGTTTTTCTCCATCCTTTGTTTTTACCTTATTACTCGTTTAATCTTCATTATAACTGTGAAAAAGGTAATATTAGTTCCATTTTCAAAGGAGGAAGCTAAAGTCCTGAGAGGTAAAGTAATTTGCAGAGTTAGTGAGTGCCTTTAGCTGCAAATCAGCCCAGGCCTATCTGTCTCCAAAGCTTGTGTGTGCCTTTCAGAGTTAAAAGACTTTGGATTCAAACTGACCAAACAGAGGCTTCTTTCCCATGACATTCTACTAGCTATCTGTCTTCCCTCATCCAAGTGTTTATGTCCAGGGACCCCTGAATTAGGTAGCTAAGGAGTTTGCTGATTTTTGTCGAGTCACTTGTATAAGAAAAACTGTGGTCTCAGCTCCCCCAGAGAGTGAGAAGAAGTCAGGGGGCTTAGTCCATCAGCTCCCAATTTAACCAGAGCAGCCTCAGAAAAATCCTTTTCTTTCTGCTTCCTCTAACATCTCCTAAGAGGAGTTCTGGGGTTGCAGCCATAGTGTACTAGAAAGTTCTACAGCTCTTAAGATCTAGAACTGCCCTGTTCATTGCGGTAGCTACTAGCCACAAGTGGATATTTACATTTTAATTTAAATTATTTAAAATTAAGTAAAATGAAAAATCAGCCCCTCAGTCACATTAGCCACACTTCAAATGCTTGCTATTCACATGTGGCCAGTGACAACTCTATTGGATTGTACAGAGGTAGAACACTTCTACCACTGCAGAAAGTGGTTAGCACTGAAATGTAATGGGTGGAGGTAGTCTTCTGTTTGTTTGTTTGTTTTTTAATGTTTGTTTATTTTTGAGAGAGAGAGAGAGAGGAAGAGTGCAAGCAGAGGAGGGGGCCACAGAATCCGAAACAAGCTCCAGGTTTTGAGCGTTAGCAGGGAGCCTGACATGGGGCTCAAACTCACAGACCGCGAGATCATGACCTGAGCCCGAGACGGATGCTTAACTGACTGAGCCACTCACGTGCCCCATCTGTGTTTCAACCTCATGTTAAAATTGGGGGACCAGTCCCCTTTTCTTCTGCTTTCAGAGTAATCTCAGGATTTAGGTTATGAAGCTTGAGAGTAGGAGTGGGAAAACACCAACCAGTCTTTGGGACCCTGAATAATGAGCATTTTGTGAGGTTAGAACAGTGATAACAAGGGGGAGGGGTTACTAATAGCTAAAACAATATCTGGTGCCTTTTTCCCACCTGCCGGACCCACAATCTGCACAAAATCATAAGGATTGCCAGAAACCCTGAATCAATAATTGCTTTTATCTTTGTAGAAATGTAAATTAATCCTGTCACAAGCTCTCCCCATTAGTTGAGTGGTTGGCTTTAGCTGGGATCTGAATCATAAGACGACCTTCATTTATTTTCTCTGAATATAATGGTAGCTCTAGAGCTGGACTCTTAGGATTTGTGAATTCTGTTTTAACTCTTTAATTTTTGTGTCCCCCCCCCCCCAGTGGGTGCTGTCAAAGAGAAAGAGAGCCAGACATATGTTAAAGGTAGCAAGACATAATTTCATTCAGATCAAGGCAGTAGAGAAGAGCGACTGAACCCAAATCTGCTGAAGCCAAAGGTACTTTTTAAATGCTAGGGCATGCTTAAGAAAAAGGACTAAAGATGTTAGGTTGGTCAGTGTGATTAGTTGTCAGTGTTTACTAATTGATGCTTATCAAAGTTACGTTCCTCTCTCCCACAGAGACTGGGAGATAAGGGCTCTATTCTTGCTGATGACATTTCAAAGGGATGGCTCCCAGGTTCTTGAGAAAAGACATTTCTGGGTTATGGAAGATTTATATCTCAAGAAATCAGAGAAAGGATTTACAACTGCAAGTCTCCTAAAGTAAATGCTCTAAGCAAAACACAGTCAGGGGCCTTAGGTTTTAGCTGGAACAAATAGTCTGGGTTTTTTGGGGCAACATTGAGCTTTCTCAGGCAGGCATAATGGGGCTAGGGTCATCCTAGGGACATGGCCTTAGGCTGATAAAAGCAGTACTAGAATTTGGTTTATGTCTTTAAATGTGTGATGAGAGAGGTTGATGGAGTTATTTGTGTGGAAGCTTGCAGTTCTCAGTTCCTGGATAAAATTTTCTATACAAAATTTCAGGACCTGCGCATTTTGGAGGGATGATGAGGCTGGAATTTAATCCCATCTTGGGAACAGGAAAATAACCTTTAGTGAAAGTGAATAAAGCATTGTTTGGGGGACTTTATGCCAAGAAAAGAGGGGAGCAGTCAGAAAGTTGATTTATAGGACCTGAGAAGCAGCCTTGGATTTTATTTTGTTACTTAACTCTAAGATAAATGGTATAGACCAGAGTAGCCCACCGGAAAGTGAGAGATCGCAGTTAACTGAAAACATAAGAAAGCTTCTTGTAAGAGAGAACCTGAGCTGAGCCTTGAAGGTCGATGGGTGGCCCTTTCTTGGCTTAGCATTTTATTATGGTATTTCTACGAGACCTCATCTGATTTCCATAGAAATACACTATAATCTCATACTTGAATTATTTATTTTTAAATATTTGACTTTTCTTTAAAAACATTACCCAAAGTTGCTATTTCTCTCACGTTTTGACTCTTGATTTCTGGATTGATTTTCAACCAGATCTCTTCAGAATTAACATGTTATAATTTTTTATGTTTATTTATCATTTTGAGAGAGAGACACAGCACAAGCAAGGGAGGGAGGGGCAGAGAAAGAGGGAGACAGAATCAGAAGTAGGCTCCAGGCTCTGAGCTGTCACTGCAGGGCCTGACCTGGGGGCTCGAGCTCACAAACCCTGAGATAGTGACCTGAGCCGAAGTCAGATGTTTAACCAACTGAGCCACCCAGGCGCCCCAGATAACTCGTTCTAAACAGCCTCCAGGTTTTTTTTTGTTTTTTTTTTATTTCTAGAAGAGAGAGAGAGAGATAGCGTGAGCAGGGGAGGGTCAGAGAGAGAGGGAGTCACAGACTGAAACAGGCTCCAGGCTCTGAGCTGGCAGCCAGCACAGAGCCCGACGCGGGGCTCGAACCCACGAACCGCGAGATCATGACCTAAGCGAAAGTCGGACGCTTAACCGACTAAGCCACCCAGGCGCCCCCAGCCTCCAGGTTTTTGTACAATCTATTCTCTGCCCAAAATGCCTCCCAACCCCCACCCCCATATACAACTTCAGGGAATTGTTTATCCTTCAAGACCCAGATGTAGTAGCACCCTTTCTTTGCTCCAGCGGTACAGTATTTTCTGCTTTTCCTCTTCTATTCCAGCCCTTATTCTGTTTGTTATAATTAGTTTGTAACGTCAACTCCCTAGTACAGTCTCTGGCCCATAGAAGATACCCAGTGTTAATAGATGTGATTAAATACAGTGGGCTCTAAAATATGTTTTCCAGTGTTAACCCGGCTATGCATAGATATAATAGATGCTAATTGGATTTTTATTTGTTCTTAGATGGCATTAAGAGGATCTGCGCCAGTGACCATTATACCTCTTCCTGGAGAGCAAGTACAGGTTCAGGGGGTCATCCAGACAGCTCAGTCTTCTGTAATTCACCCACCACACGTGCAAACGGTACAGAAATTCAAAGACTTAGTGTTTGAGAGAGGGGACTTTTATACCCTGAGTTTTTGGACACATTGAAGTTGCTATAGTTATAATATTATAAACCAAGATAGTAAAGTTGTCTTAGAAAATTAGACAATAGAACAAATGAGGCAAATAGAAAAGTTTGTGAATTTCTGATCTCATGTATGGACTACCCAGTGAAAAAGGAAAGCAATTTGGGAGGAATTTATTACTTGGAAATGGAGGACTTTAAGAAAGACAGAATCTTTTGGTCCCAGTGGTATCTTTCATGAAAAAGAGAATTCTGAAGCAAAGGCGATGGTGTTAGTGTGAACAAAGTGAAAAACAAAAAAACAAACATACCTACTTTATGCTTTGTGGAAGTCAAATAAGAGAGTTCTCATAGTGGAGGCAAGTTCTTATTTATATCTGTTGACCTTCATATTACCACCTGGCAGCCGTAGGAAGGAAAAAGCGACCCTGGGTTCATTTTCCTTCTACTCTTTCTCCCCATTTTATCTTCTGGCTCTTGTGAGTTTCCGAATGCCTTTGGTCACCCCTCATTTTTTCCTCCTGACTATTCAGTATCTGGCGGTGCTGTCAGCTCTAGAGCTGCATGTTTATGTGGTTTTCCTATTTGAAAGGTGACAACTGTATAGATTTGTGAGTTTTTATATGGAGATTTTACTTTTACTTGCTAGTCTGTCATTAAAGAGAAATACTTGATCTTAATTATATAAGTAAACTCTTGGTTCCAGAAATTATTTTCTTGAGTTCAGTGGGAGACTTTGGAGTAAATTTAGGGACAGCAAAAATAGTTAAGGGTTTAGGTTAGAAATGGTATATCCATGATGCTTGAGGAAATACAAAAGGGACATATCTCTCAGTTACTATAGGTTGTGACCAGTTCATCTTTTCTGCCAAAAGATACAGATTTTAATATGAAATGTAAATAGCTGTACATTAGAACTTGTTTTTGAGGGAGATTATAGGATGTAAAACAGATTTATAGAAATTTAAGGTCTAAGTCTGATTAGTGTAGGGGAAGGCTTTCTACAAATAGTAATGTAGAGCACTGAATTGTTAGGTCCTTTCTAGAAGCCTGGTTGGGTTATTTTATTTTTTAAAATAAAGTTGAAGTAAAAAATCATAGTGCAACTTTGGACACATTGGGAAATTTAATACATTTTAAAAATTGAAAATAACTTGTTTTCTTAATTGTAAGATACTGTTATAGCTTAAAACTTGCATGTGGTTATTATTGTGTTGACATAATTTTATAGAACTTATTAACAGTTACCATTTAATATGGTATATGCCATGTACCTTGCTATATGCCATTAGTACAGATTTCTAAGTTGCATGCGTTTATACCTGTCCTTGCTACTGACCTCCATCTTGCTATTCCTGATGATCTGTTCTGAGTCTTTGTTTTACTTCACCTGTTAGCAGCACTTAACATGGTGGATCATTCTCTTCAATACACTGCTTTTGCTTGCTCTGTGGGACACCTCACTTACCTGCCTCAGTGGTGGCTTATTCTTGGTCTTAATTGCTGGTTCCTACCCTTTTCCCCAACCTGTTAATGTTAGAGTGTTCCTGTTGGTAATCTTCTTTGTATATTGAGCTCATCCTGTCTCAGTCCCTAAAGCCTTATCTAAAGAGCTGTGACTCCCAAGTTTATATGTCTAGTCCAAGACCTCGTGCCTGACTCAAAGGCTTGTATATTTAGCAGTTTCTGCAGTGTTATATCTAATAATTTGATAGTAGTTGGATATCTAATAACATATCAAAATTAGCATGTCCAGAATCCAAATCAGATTAATAATTTTATCTGTATAGAAATAAGGTGGAAATCAGAGACTAGCCTTTATAACTCTACTTAAATAGTATTGCTTTATCTTAGGGATAGACTTTATTCTTTGTTCTGAGCATGCTGTATTGTGCATTCCTTTAATTAGTTTGAGCTCTTGAAATAAATTTGTTTTTTCATATCTTCCTTTATTTTAAACCTTAGATTTAATGGCAAATGAATTTGAGTGGCAGGAGACAGATCGTATTTTCTGAAAGTAAAAATTAAACTGTTTTCCACCTGCATTGTGGATTTTTCTTTTTCAGGTATCATCTTTATCAGAAAGTGAGGAGTCTCAGGACTCATCAGACAGTATAGGCTCTTCACAGAAAGCCCACGGGATCCTAGCACGGCGCCCATCTTACAGGTGAGTACTCGGTGTTTCAGATCCTGTGTGTGTTCTATTACAATGAGTTGGAATGGTACCATGCAAAGCAAACTATATAAAGAGGAAGCGTGTGTCCATATAGGATGGGAAATGTTAAGAGAGAGATTTGAGCCAGATTATGAAGGGCCTAAGTTGCTTTGCTGAAGAGGAATTTAATCTTATTTTCTGGCAAAGTATTAGATTTCCACATCTACTTTTAGATAGTGAACTTTATTTTTTTTTTTAATTTTTTAATGTTTTATTTATTTCTAGGAGAGAGAGAGAGAGACAGCGTGAGCAGGGGAGGGTCAGAGAGAGAAGGAGTCACAGACTCTGAAACAGGCTCCAGGCTCTGAGCTGACAGTCAGCACAGAACCCGACGCGGGGCTCGAACCCACGAATCGCGAGATCATGCCCTAAGCGAAAGTCGGACGCCCAACCAACTAAGCCACCCAGGCGCCTCGATAGTTAACTTTAAAAGCAACATGACTGTAGATTTTAGGAATTGAACTACTTTGTGTTCCCTTTCTTAGCTTCCTAACTCTTGTCCCTTTGCTGAAACACATTTTTCTGCATTCTGCATAATTCCTGCACATGCTTTAAGCCTTATTTCCTCCTAGAAGTCCTCTGATTACCTTCATTCCAACTCCTAAGACCAAGTTAGGTCTGTCTTCTGTGGCATTCTTTTTCTGACCCCTGTTACAGTATTTATCTTGTCCTCTTAGAATTCCAGTTAATAATACGTGGGCCAGGGGCACCTGGTTGGCTTAGTCAGAGAACATGCAACTCTTGATCTCAGGGTTGTGAGTTTAAGCCCATGTTATATGTAGAGGTAACTGAATAATAATTATTATCATAATAATACATAGGCTGCTCTGTTTTTAATTTTTTTTTCAATGTTTATTATTTTTGAGAGAGAAAGAGCAGGAGACACAGAATCTGAAGTACTCTTCAGGCTCTACACTGTCAGCACAAAGCCCGATGCAGGGCTTGAACTCAGGATGTGGGCTAAAGTCGCACACCTAACTAACTGAGCCACCTGGGCAACCCTGGACTGTGCTCTTAAATAAATTTTGCATTGCAAAGTGACCATACAAGAGTAGATGCTCGGTAATTACTTGTTGAACAAAATTAGAAGGTAAGAGGAAACAGGGACAGAAAAGAATAAAGGAAAGAGTGTGAGCAAGGGAGAAGGAGAGAGAGAGAATCCCGAGCAGGCGCCAGGCTATCAGCGCAGAGCCCGATGCACCCCTTGAACCCACAAACCATGAGATCATGACCTGAGCCAAAGTCAAAAGTCAGATGCTCAGCCAACTAAGTCACCCAGGCGCCCCTAGATTAACTTATTAAATAAAACTGGAAAACACCAAAGAGAACAGTAAGATCTTAAAAGCTTCTAATGAAAAAAGATAAATTACCTTGAAAAGAATGACCATTAGGCTAACAGTAAATAACAAGAGAAAGTAACTGTTGGTCTGGAACTTTATACTCAACCGAACAATCACTCCAAAATAATGGTGAAATAAATTCATTTTAAACTGATTTAAGAAATCACTAAAGGGTGTACTTCAGGAAGAAGAAAATGAGTCCAAATGGAAGGAGTGTGAATATAAGAATGGTGAACTAAGACAGTCATTGACTTTTGACTTTTTAGAACTATTGATTTTTAGAACAGTAATGATTCATTTGGGTAGTTTAAAAACAAAATGCAAAGAATTCTACCAGGCAGAAATATGTAAGACAAGGAATGGCTTATTAGATCCCTGTATTGATTATTTATATTGTTATTGATTAGACAACCTTAGATTATTGGAGGCAGTCACCAAAAGAATGCGAATGAAAGTTTAATAATAAAACTAATCTAAGTTTGTCTAATTTTTGCATTCTTTTGGGTGCCTGGGTGGCTCAGTCGCTTAAGCGTCCAACTTTGGCTCAGGTCATGATCTCATGGTTCGTGGGTTTGAGCCCTGCCCTGTGCTGGCAGCTCAGAGCCTGCTTCAGATTCTGTGTCTCCCTCTGTTGCTGCCCCTCCCCCACTCTCTCTCTCTTAAAGATGAATAAATGTTAAAAAAAAAAAAAAAAAAGTTTTTTTAAAGTTTAATTTCCAAACAAGGGGGCTTCACCAGCACAAAAGTTCCTGGTTAAAGTATTTGTTAACATATTGCGCATTTATAGGAAATGATAGAAATATCCTCTTCTCCCAGTAATCAAAAAAACCATACACATACTGGTAAACAAAACTTAACTGAGTAAATTTGAAGAGCTAATTGGTTTTATTAAATAATTCATGAATTGGGCACCATCCCATCTAACAAGTAGAGGGCAGCTCCGAGAAGTTGTACAAAATGGAAGGTTTCTATATAGGAAAGAAGGTGAGGCAAGAAAGTTATTTTCCAGGCAAGGTTATCTTTCCCTTAGGGGTAAGTGCCAGGAGGTCTTATCATTGCAGATTTTCATCTTCCTTTGGGGGGATGGAGAAGGCCCATGTGACAAATTACCTCACTGATGCTGTTCTGAAACTTTCTGACTGACTAGTTAAGACTACATTTCTGGGGGAAGGTTGAAACTGCAATTAGATTAAGTATTAACCCCCCGGTTTGGGGACTCCACCTAAGCAATGCCATTTTGGGCTGTGATTTTCTCTTTAACAGTTCCTTCCTTTTGATCAGACTTTCAGCTTAACTGAGAGATGTGATCAGATTTTAAGGTATTAGTGCCACTCTCAGTTACCATTCAAAAGTTCTCAGTGGTTTTTGTTGTTCGTTTGTGTGACCTCAGACGTGTGTGTGTCTGTGTGCACACATGCACTTAATCACTGTGATACTCATAGGTCATGGCTTTAGGTTCACATTCTGTTTGTGTTTCAGTCTTAGATCATTTGTTTGGTGGTTAGTGACTATGAACATGCATAAAACTTTTGAGAATACAATGTACACGGGAGATTATTATGATTACTATAAGAATAATTCTCAATATTTGGAGTTCACTGTAGAGCCTTGGTCTACAAGACCTAAGCCAATCAAAATCAAATAAGTCAAAGAAAGAACCTCATGGAAGGAGTCACTTTTTTAAGCCAAAAGTCTTGGCCTGTGCTCTTTTGTAATTGATTTTTAACTTCCCCAAAAGTGTTCATTAATCCAGATACAAAAGCAGGTGGTGTTAGCCAAGAAAACAGATGAATCAAGTCTATTATCAAGGACAACTTTGGCTAGAGGATCTAAGGATCTTAGCAGATAATATAATACAAGTATGATCCATCGTCTTGGATGGAAACAGTCTACCTTGCTGTAAGCTACTTCTCTTTCTTGTCAATTTGATCCTCAGCATCTGTACAAGACCAGGTATCAGGTGGAACCTTTGCAGCTGTGTGCCATATACCCAAGGCTTCCTACCTTTTAGTTTTGCAGCAATGCCAGTAGTCAGGAGCATTGCTAAGGTACTTTCCAACAGGGCTTGCGAGCTGGGTGTTTGTTAGTTTTGTTTCTTGGTGTTTTTTGTTGTTTTTTTTTTCTTTTTTCTTGGTGACCTTTCCAGAATACCAGTCACCAGTCTCCACACTGACCAACAGGATCCTTTGATAGGGTCTAATAAACTCCTTTAACCTGTTGGTGATAGGCTTTAGTATATAAGACATTAAAGACTTCTAGTAACTGGCTATACTAGCCTGAGACAACAAGGAATCAACGGAAAGCTGTGTGCCAGGAGACAGCGAGTGGTCTACCTATGACTGTCTCCTAAGGAGTATGTTGCAAAGAGTGAGCAGAACTAGTGGCGACACCATAGGCCAGCACCTTGCCAAATTCAGCAAGGTTAGAGATTTGGGGAATTCCATTAGTTCTCTACACTTTGCCCGATGATTAAGGGTGATGGGGTAGTGATAATTCCAAGATATTCGTAAGGTCTTTATCAAGGCTTGGATGGTTTGCCCAGTGAAGGGTGTGCCTCAGTGGAAAGTACAGGCCAAATGGGAAACACGTTTTCTGAGGGTTTTGTTTGTTTTCCCCTGCTACAAGACTAATGCCCTCACACTGGCAACTTCAGTCTATCCAGAAAACATATGTACGGTAACAAGAACATAGTGATAAGCCATACGAGGTGGCAGATGAATGGAGTCCAGCTGCGGGTGCTCACAGGGAGGAGGCTTGAGGCCCTGGGAACAAAAAGTTTTTCCAGGATTATGGACTTGACAGGTTAGACATTGATGGTAAGATGTTTTTTCAATCTTACAGAAGTCTCCCCACCAATGTTTATTTACAACTGGAGTCCTCTTAAACATACCATGGTGGGTGAAGAAATGTAGAAGCCAAAAAATGAAACTTGCCAGAACGTGAGAAAGAACCCAGAGGCCCTTCTTGGAGCAGGCTTTTGCCATGTTGTAAGGACATCATGACAGCAGAAGTCTGGCATATAGGGGCCATTTTTGTGGAAGCAAAATCAACTTATCCACACATGCCATGGTCTTCCAAACACAATATAAAGAAGGCTTAGAATTACATATGTAAACTACATGGGAAGCATTGTCAAATATCAAATAAGCATAACAAATCCTTTGGGATATTCTAAGTCAAAAAGACTTTGTTTAGAACTTAATTTTGGGTGTAGCTGGCTCCATAGGGTCACCATTTCAAGCCCTGGGTTAGATACAGAGATTCCTTAAAAATAAAACCTTAAAAAAAATAGAACTTAATTTTGGGACGTTCATCAAAAGCATCAAATATAGGTCTAAGGCACTTGCCTTAAACAGGATCACAGATCATTATGAAACTTAAAGGAGTTTTCCACAGTATTACCAAAATCAGAACAAAGTCCAAGAGAACTTTGTTGTTTTAATAGAAAACCAAATTCTCATTTTGTACCAGCTTACTTCTGATATTAAACTCATTTTTAAAAATAATTTTATTTTAATCTTAATCAGCTGGATTCCTCTGCCACAAACTTACTACAGCAGTTTTTTTTGTTTTTTCTACATTCTGATTTGTCCTGTTTTTCCTCAAAGACAA